ATGATCAGGCCAACATTTAAAAACATTAGGCTTCTTTTTTCCTGTTTTTGCTTATGTTAGAAAAATGTACATAAAAATTTAGAAATATCTGAATTCTCCACGTTTGCCTTGCCGCTGTTTGATATAATCTGGCGTATCTTCGTTCATCATACCTGCTCGAACGGGTTGGATGTTCGAATTTGGTGGAGGAGGAGCTGTAACTCCACTTGGTCGTTCCTGTAAACAGATTATCAGTTTCAATGCGGTATTCTCTGCATTCATTTCAGTCTCCAAAAAAAAACTCAGTTCCGAATTGACAAGCAAACACTTACTGGAGCGTACATGGCTGACTCTTGCTGACTGTGTGGAACAGGCGAGACATCTTCGTAATTAATAACAGCCAGAATTGTACGAGGCACATAGCCTACCCGATGGTGCATATTTGTGCACTCCCACCAATTCTTTTTGTCATTTAAAACCTTTAAAGCACCAACAATTAATAGGCATTCAGAAAACGTATTACAGATGCATAACAGTCAAAGTGTTTTAAACCACACATTTGTTTCACAAGATGAAAGAAATGTTATTACCTCAAGATATTCTCCACGTGAAATTGTTAACTCCTTAGCGTTTTGAGCTACCCGGTCGAATGTAGCCTGTGCCAATATAGCTCTTCTCGCCATAATATCGTTAGCAAACGATTTTTGTCTCGGACTTTGATCTGGCAACTTTATTGGTCCTAGTGAAGGCATATCTACACCACCATTGACATTTGGAGGATACTGCTGCATAGACCGACGTACCATTGTCGGAGACTCTTGGCGAGGCCTAAAGCAAACGTTTGATCAAATCTGGCAGCAAATTTTGTTAGCTGTAAGCTAATTAATTTCACTTATCAAATTTGCCACACTTACACAGATAAGCAACAAACAAAATCACTCACTCAGGAGGCCTCGAAGGATAATTGTTTGGCATCATCCTCTGCTCGGCTTCCTGAGCCATAAGTTCTTTTTCTGCGGCTAATCTTTGTTGTTCATGACTGCAATAAGAACCGTCTGATAGCGATGACAATAATCAAGAATCAAGCTAATAAAAAGTTGAACACTTTTTTTAAAGTCGGCAAAAACTATCTTATAAAATGTGGTCTTGTGAGTAATTACTTTTCTAAACACTAGAATTCAAGAAGAAAATTTCGAAAACAAATTTTTTACTGTAATCTTCGTTCTTCTTCAAAAAGTCTCCGTTTTTCAGCAATTTTTTCTCGTTCAAAATCAAGCCGCTCCTTTTCGAGATTCATGCGATCCAAATCGATGTTTAACTAAAATTTCAATTATTTTACATTCCACGATTTCTCTTTTCTTCCAGCAATAACTTTCACTAATACTTTTTTAGTAAATTTCCTAAAAAAGTGATTTTCAAACAGCCAGTCAAACGTATCCCAACTAAAATGTCGGTTGAATTAAGTTATGAACCTACATTGTCTACAGATCGATCTCTTATAGGCGGTTGATGGTGGTAAGAATTAGTTTGAGGAGGAGGAGCACTGACTCCTCGGTGGATCGGTTGTGGTTGAGGTTGAGGAGTAGGCTGATAACGGCTACCGTAGGATTGTGGTAAAGGAGGTTCACTCATATCAGGAGGTCCATAAGGTGCGAAGCCATCTATGAATATCGGATGATATGGTTTCGGCAAAGGACCTATCCAGTCTTCTCTGGAAGCAATATCAGAAAAAGTCAGGCGCGTAATCAATGAAGATGCACTTTTAAGCATTATTTACCACTGCGCACTAATGCAAAATCAATGCAACGACATACGGTGGTACGCGCCACGCGCTTCCGAGCGACATCCAAACATCTGATTCTTTACTCGTCAAACAATTTTGCATTAGCTCTCGAGCTTCACGTGATATCAAAGGTGATTGAACCTGAATGATTCAATGTAAACAGTAATGAAAATATTATTATTATTATTATTATT